AATTACTTATCTCATTAAGGATAAAATAAACATTTTAAAGTTAAATTATTTCAAAATATAAAAATTTATCATTCTTTTTTAAACTGACAAAAAAAATGCATTACATAAATTGGAACAGAAAAAATACCATAAATTATTTATAAAAATACCATATATATATCCCGTTTACAATATCAAGAATATGATTGACTCCAAACTATTAATAAATGGAAAACTTACATAAATTCTACCACTTTAAGAGTTAATTATTTAGATACACTCTAGTTTGCAATATTATGTAACTTATCAGATTTTGGTGCGTCCAAATACGTTCAAATACATGTATCTCGAGATACATGAGTCAAATTTGTTTTAGATACATTGTAGCAAAGTGGATTCACATGTGTCCGGGATTCATAACAAATCTCTCTCGCCTCTCTCCCATCTCGTTCGCCACTCTCCTATATATTTGATATCTAAGATACATACATATACATGTAGCTAATGTGTATCTAATGTGATTCACATGTATCTGAGATACATAATAAAATCTTACTCGCCTCCCTTTCCATCTCACTCGTCTCTCTCCCTATTTTAGTGTATTTGATAGCAAATATATATATATATAAGTGTATCTTTCTCAATATATGGTAGAAAATGCTTAATTAGTAGTAAGATACATAATATTTTAAAAGTATATGTAATAATAGTATATATGTTAGTAAAGTATGTCTAATTATGTAGTTTCTCCATAATAAATGACATATTTAGATTTTAGACCATATCACATAATATCAACTTTTGTAATTTATAAACAAGGATTTTGTCGTGGGATTAATATGCTATGCAACCTTTTTATGAAAGGTCTCGAGTTCAAATTTTAAATGTAGAAAAAATCATGTTGGGAGAGTTTTCATCTAAAATAGACATTATACTACGTGCAGTTAAATTAGTCGAGGGATTCCAATATGAATATCGAACACCTTATTATAAATTTCTTTTACACCTGTAAATATAATTGATCGAGCATATATTTAAAATTATATTCAGAGGCGATTGCGAGGTCATAAAATGAAGTACTCTGTTTCTTTCGTTGAATTTTGCATAATTTAATAGTACATTTGAATCTTTTTCTATATTATATTATATTATATTATTATTGAAATGACTTGACTCACCATACAAAGAGCCTGATTGACCAAAATAACGACAACGAAATAAAAGCAGAAGAGTACGTAATTTTTAAATGAATAAATCACTAAAAAAAAAATTAAATTAGTTGTGAACTTTATTGCTAATTCATTGCTACATTACCCATAAGTCATAACTGACAATTTTTAAATACTCATCACTTATCCAAGATTAACGACTAATTTTATTTGTTAATTATAGAATTTATCCGTTGTCAATTTCTTTTTCTTTTTTTAAAAAGGAAAAATCGTTGTAATTTTCCTTTCATCATATTCTAATTTGTTTTGGTTTACAAAATGTTAGAGCCCCAAATTCAGTGACTTGTTTTTTTTCTACTTAACCAGAAACTTAGGCCCGTTTGAATATGTGATATAAAACTATAATATAAAATTACAATTTTGTTCGGGTATGTAATTTTAAATTTTTTAACTTGTATATTTTCTTATAAACATGAAAATTCTATAAGTTGTGAAAATTATTTTTAAAAAATCAATTATACAATCTTCCAAATAAGCAAATCATGGTTTATTAAGATGATATCTGAATATCCTAAGGCATTGATCATATATCTCCATGTTTCTTTTATAAGTACATGTTGCGATTACAAACTTTCAAGTATAAATAATTTTATAAAGATTCATTAGTCAACAATAATAGTAACTAGTTATTCTTTAATATAATTTTTTCATGTGGTAGTTGATATGAACAATCTTATCATGCCAAGCATGAGTCTTTTTTTATTTTTGGGAATTTGAGTTTTGAAATTATGATTTCAAATTATATATTCAAACAATATGATTTCAAATTATATATTCAAACAATATGGTTTCAAATCATGATATGAAATTGCTTATCCAAAAACAACTTATATTTAAAGATCCTCAACCAAACAACTTCTAACGACACTTGCTTACGTGGTCATTTGGGCCAACGTTATATGTTTACCCTTAGTTTTATTCTTATTTACTCAAATTGTCTTATTTACCCGAGATATGCACGTGCAAAATACGTATTCATAAACACATGTGATGCGTGACTTAAACACATGTCACAAGCTCAAATCTTATCGTAGATAAATCTGATCTCACCTACTTTGAAAATTTGTAAGAGTTTTGTTAATAAGAGTCACACACAACTCCTAATAGAACTTTATTATATCTAACTAAATTAATTACTTTATTATTTGATTTAAATATTTTTCAATCATTTTGAAACAAGTACCTGCAGATTATTTGAAGTACTATGCAGGGATGTTTTTGAGGGATTTTTTAGCTGCGAATAACTAACTAATTTATAAACTACTATTTTACAACCGCAAAAACAAATATTTTTAGAATATGTATACAACTAATTTTTTTAAGAATAATTTACACGAAATATGCACGCATAAAACATGTGTCAAACAATTAATACATATACTAAGCACACGAATAAATATTTACTACTTCTCTTCTTCATTGGTAAATTGCATGGTAAAAACATAATTCATAATGTTTTGTGTGTGTGTGTGGGGGGGGGGGGGGTTAAAATTTTTTG